TCAGACCGATGAGCTTTGTAAAAATCGACGCGTTTCAGAAAGGCGGGGCATAGAGGAGAAACAATAATGTACAGTATGTGGAAAATAATGTGGTTTTTTTACCTTAAACCTGCATAAACACATTGCATTACACCAAATACACAAAATAATGTTCTTTTTAGCAACGTCATATGACCCCTTAAATGTTATGCGACTAAAACATAATTTTTTCCTCGTGATAAGTCATGATGATCGATGTTGGTAGCGTTATGTATATCACAGCTATTATTTTTAATTGAAGGAGACATAGATGTGTATCTTTAGCAAAGCAGCGCTTCTGGGGCACTTCGGAAATGTTAGCATTAGCATTGACTAGAGTGGCCGCGATCAGCTCCGGTGGCCTTGTCGGAGCTGTAATGCACCACAGATATGTGCAGTATAAATAAGGGGTTATCCAAGCGTTAATGCCAAGGATTATAGTATATTAAAGAATGAACATGTGGCTTTTACGTATGCCAGATGACTTGTAAATGCAAAAAGAAAAAAAAAAAACCTGTTTCCATTGCAGTTTTGCAATATATTCCTTTTTCGAATTGCCTAAAAAAAAAACATCTCGTGTGAGTTTTATTTTTTTTTTGTGATATATGGGAGCTTTTGCTAAATTGACAAGTTTCCATTAGGCGTATTTTCAATTCGCAATTGTGACACCGGAGAGATGTAGAGCGGGTAATAATGAGAGAAGAGATAAACTAGTGGCTGTGCTGACTGAAGACAAACAGATATGAGGAGAACTAAAAGCAAAAACAAAGAGAAAACAGAGCGGAGAGGGACAGCTAACCAACCCGAGTCACAAAATAATATCAAAGATCATTTGTGTTCTTTCAGTTTAACAGTTCTAAGATGTTTTTATATTAAGCATCGATCAATAATTGATGAAACAATGTTAAATCAATGCAAAATAATTTAATGCAGAGTAAGACTCGAGTTATAGCCACAGAAAAAGTTTAAAGGGGTCATATGATGCTGCTAAAAAGAACATTATTTTGTGTATTTGGTGTAATGAAATGTGTTTATGCGGTTTAAGGTTAAAAAAAACATTATTTTCCACATACTGTACATCATTGTTTCTCCTCTATGCCCCGCCTTTCTGAAACACGTCGATTTTTAAAAAACTCATCGTTCTGAAAAGTGAGGTGTGCTCTGATTGGCCAGCTTATCCAGTGTGTTATGATTGGCCGAATGCCTCAAGCGTGTGACAGAAATGTTACGTCCCTTACCATATTGTGATGCCTGCGGCAACCACGGGACGACCCCGGGCTGGACTCCGCTTCCCAGCGCTGGAGAGAACTCAAGGAGCGGAAGGCCTGCGATCGGACGCCGAGGTTGCTTTGTTTCTTCTCGATAGGAGAGTAACACCGTGTCTACAACAGCTAAAGTCTGCCTACACTGGGCGCAATCAAACGACCGTTGAAAACCATTTGAAATGTGTGTCAGCACGTCATAAATAGAACCCGGCAGCAGTTTTCTGTTGGGTATTTGTTGCGCCGCGCCGCTCACGTCCGATGTAGACACGGTGTAACATTGGTTTTGCTTTGTTTCACAGAACTAATCGTTGCCTGGGTTGCGTACGTATATATGGGGTGGAGCTATCAGAATAGAGGCAAGACCCTTTTGGGGTAGGGGCGTGTTTGTTTTGGTGATTTCAAATATCAACATTGGCTACCAGAAATCACTTACTCTGCCTTTAAGCAGTGTAATAACAGATTCTTTATTACTTCACAGGATAATCAAAAATGTATTATATGTTACATAATACACAAAATGTATACCAAATGTTTTATTTTTGCAAAAGATAATCAACAGTTTATTAAATTATATTAAAATCAATGTGAAATAATTAAATGCAAAGGCTTCTGCACTCAAACATGACAGCATCTTGCATATTACTCTTTGATTTATATTTATTTTCAGCACTTCACTGGACAACGTGTATTTTATTTTTATTTATTTTTTTTTACATATATTTGACCACAAATTAAGCTCTGAATACCTCTGACATATGTTTGTTATTTATGTGTTTTCTGCATTTAAATATCTCTCCCACACAAGACTTTTATTTTGGCTTGGTGACCTGACGTCATGAGACTGCGCTGCGCTGCTGTGTCTGTGACTCGTCTGAAGAAAGGTTGGTGTTTTTAAGCGTTTAAAGTGTTTTTTTTTTTTTACGTTAAGGCAGTGTTATAGTTTTTACAAGCTATGTAAAATGAATCATTCATTGTAACGTTGCAGTGTTTCATCCAAAAAAAAATTTTTGTGAGTAAATCGTGTCTGAACATGATTAACAAACACGGTGCTTTTCACTTCGCTCCCTAGCCTAGATCGTGAAGTAGTTTGTAGTAAACGCAAATTCAGTCGCCGTGATGAGAGAAACGGAGCGTTTTGAAACTCCCAGTCAATTGAATCAATTGCTTTGCAAAGTGATTCAGTGATTCGATTCGTTCGAATCACCGCACACAGACGAGAAAAAGAGCGGGAATGCAACGAAAACAACAAACACGAGTAATAACGGCTTTTACTAACCAACTTCAAACGTTTTCATGAGTGTAATCTATTAAATGTAACCTACAAATCATTAAATACCAAATATACAACACAAAAACTTCAATGCCCTTCTGTATAGTTTTGTTTTAAGACCATTAACTATTACTCTGACTGATTCCCTTAGCAGTGCACTGACTACTGAACTAGGGAGCCGACTGAGACACACATTGAGAGCTAGTTTGAATTTATTTTTCTTTCTGTCAATTATTATCTTAAACAGATCCTTAAAAACTCCTGCTGAAGCAGCTGAGATCCACGGGACTCGATTATAAAGATGGCGTTTATTAAAGAGGAGAGTGAAGATATAAAGATTGAAGAAGTATTCAGTCTGAAACAAGAAGATACTGAAGATCAAACAGGTTGGTTTTCTCATTCTCAAAGCTGAACTCACTCATTTGATCTATTAAAATGTCTAAACCTCAACAGAAATAAATGATATTTTTGAAGAACGTCATATATGACTGTCCTGATTAAAGCAGTTTTATTTGACAATTGAATACAAATTGTGTAACATCAAACAACATCTCCATTTGAATTTAAAAACAATGTAAACCATTAATTTATAGCACTTGATTGTGCTTTTTTTTTGTTTGTAAACAAGGTGAGTCATCAATTTTTACTAATGGCAACGTTAAATCTGTATTAGAACAATATACATAAAACAATATTGAGTATGAAAAAAAAAATTGTACTGCAAAATCATTCGATTTATCCAGTTCACTTTTTTGTGTAACTTTCCACAATATGCATTGTTTCAAAGTAGCTTTGCAGAAAGTCTTATCTGTTATCAGAGGTGACCGTGTCAAATTACTAATTTATACAAATCATGCAGTTCAGTAATGATGGTATTTAAAAAGAGATGATGAACATTATTAAAACTTTTTTTTAAGATTGCATTTTAAGAAGAATTTGGCGTTTTTGTATGTTGGTTCAGGGTTGGCATTGTGTAAAGTTCTGTAAAATCTCTGCTCAGGTGTTTGGTCATCTCAGATCTTTGTAAGGGCTGGCAGGGCTCTACGCTTACTTTTCTTTTTAGGAGCACTTGTGCTCCTAACTTAAAAAATGTAGGAGCACATTCAAAATTTTAGGAGCACCTTCTAATCAATAATCCAAAATGTTACCAAAATGTAGCCTTCCCATTACGAGGTAATATTTGACTCCTCTAACTTTATTAAAAGTATCATCTTTTGTCAAATTCTTAAAAAAATTATATTTTAAAAGCTTTTTAAAAAGTGTAATTAAAAAGACAGAATAAGAGTAGAATAAGAAACATAAGTTAAAAATCAAATTAAATCCGTATTAACAAAATTAATTTGTAGAGGTGGCACAGAAGAACACAAAAGTGGCTTGATGTACTTTCAGACATTTAATGAGGCTCAGAAGTGGAATGAGTGCAATTAAATCCATAAATCCATGATGATATTAATGTTTTAAATATACAATTTTGAATATAGAAGTATTAAATGATTTAAATAACTGAAAAGATACTTTAAAAATTAAACAAACTGCCAGCAGGTGGCGGCAAGTCTTATGTTTATCACTGAATCATTCATTCAGTTGATTAATTCGAACGGCTGATTATTCAAGAATGAATCAAGTGACTGTCTTTATGAATGGGTAATCATGAATCACTGACTCACTAGATTCGTTTAAAAAACCCCGTTCATTCATAAACGAAACACCGCTGTGTTTGAATGGAGATGCGCAGCGGCTCCGCTGCGTCTTTGTTTTAAACTATTTTCGACGACGAAATAGAGAAAAATCAGACAATAGTGTGCTCGCTACACTGCACAATGAATCTCTTATTTTTACACCCTGTCTACACTTTGCTTATTAAAGGATTCGTGAGATATGTCTGTGATACATTACTCAACGCTGCAAAAACATGTAGAAACCTTTGAAGCTCCCCTGAGTGCAATCACAAGAATGATGATGATCGGGTCAGTCGCACTGGTGCTCCTAAAAAAAATTTCATAGTCGCATGCAGTAGTTTTCAGTCGCAAATGCGACTGAAATGGTCGCACTGTCGAGCCCTGGCTGGATCCAGACTGGAGCTGGCATCATCTCTAGTAGCCTATCCAGGGGTGCGTTTCCCAAAAGCAACTATGGTCGCAAGCTCCATCGTTACCAATAGAGTTCAGTGGAACTAACAGCCATAGTTAGCTAACGATGCTTTTGGGAAACGCACCCCCAGAGCTGGAAACAGAAAAGCAGATAGAGAATAATTAGCATCTGTTGTTCGTAATATTTCAAGCAAAAGATATTAGGGCTGTCGCGATTCGTCAATTTTATTAGACTATTCGATTTTTTCGACTAACTGGCAAAATACCGGAAGTGGCGCATTTCACGGACGAGAATGTATAAAACACATTATTAGTCTGTTTTCCAAGGCTGCATGATATATTAAATAATTAAGCATAATTGTGAATTAACACAATTTAATTAAATAATTATATGCGATGTAGTTCTAATACAGTACATGCGCTTTAATTATTTACATGCGTGTAGGTTAAGTATGTGCGTCTCACAGCGGCTCCGTTCACAGTAGTTCCTCAGGAACTGTTATCATTTACATGTGTAGAGCGTCTCAAACTCCATCTCTGCATGTTGTTGTGAGTTTGGGTTTATTATAACGTTCATCTGGGAACGCAACGTGTGCCATTTAATCAGATTTGTAAAGTAAATCATTTATAAATCTACGCAAACTCAGGAGAATACATCGCGGTTTCAAAATAAAAGCTCAAACCCTCTCTCTGAGTTTACACGTTTTGATGTCCACATATTCATTCAATTACAGTGGCTATAGCATTTCTGTCCTAAAGAAATGGCCAAATATTAAAGATTAAGTGGACATTTGAATGAAATGGTGCTTGGTCAATATGAAACAAGTATTAGATCGCACAGCAATGTGTAAAAACAATCGTCAGGCCGTTGGCGCCCCCTGCAGGCCCTTGTTGTAATGCGTAATGTACATTAGCTCTATTGTTATGTTGCACTTAACTTTTTTACTATTGGATTTTATTTGGTTTAATGAAATATAGTTTAATAAAATATTCCTATATTCTTAATTGGACTTTTTTGGTGTGGGAAATTAATCGTTTAGATTAATTGATTAATCGATAAATTAGATAAATTAGTAATCGAAATAAAAATAGTCGTTAGTGGCAGCCCTAAAAGATACAAAAAGTTATAACTGGAGTACAAGATTATGAGATGCATTATGTGAATGCTTGGCTAAAGAGATGTGTCTTTAATCTAGATTTAAAGGGGTCATATGATGCTTTTTTAAAGATCATTATTTTTTGTATTTGGTGTAACAGAATATGTTGACATGCTTTAATGTTCAAAAAACACATTATTTTTCAAATACTGTACATTATTGTAGGTCCTCTATGCCCC